ATTTGCTTGTTACCAACACTATGATTACTTGCATATGCGCTGATTCAGGTCGACCCCCAGCTCCCGACTGCAGTATTTCCCGACTGCTGTTTTCACAGCCCTGTGTGTAAAAACCTCCTCAACACCTCAGTTAACACCTCGGCACGTTATCAGCAGCCACTTATTTTTCCAAAGGACCAAAGCTTTTCTCAGATTACCATCTGAATTCTTCCAACGCCTCTGCAGCAGGAACATTTCCTTATGAGGATGTGATATATCAAAAAATCCCAGCCTCTGTTTATGCTTCTCCGACCATGAAGAAACCAATCTACAGAAAACTGACCTGGGGGGAAAAGGGTGTGAGCCTGGGTTTTTGTTTAAACAGGCAGCTGTGATAAGAGATAACATTGTGCCAACTCAGACCACTCGTCTGGTCATTTACTGGGGTGAGAGAGGGCAGTGGACGGCCGACAGCCACAGTCTGCGGCACCTGTTTGATGTTAGCGGTCAATACCTCTGTGAACAGCCGTCATCTGCAGCACATGTGCAGAATTACTGTCAATCCCCATCAAACACACACATACACACACACAAGGGTTTGACTTCACCTCCTTATATAGACTGTTTGACAGACTGCCATGGTCTTCACCCAGAGTCCTCATCAGTGTCTGAGAAGGTGCACTGATGTAATGGGCTCTAAACTCCGGTGCCTCTCTGAGTTTAAGTTTCAACAACTTCAAAGATCATGACTTGGTTCAAAGATGGATTTTCAAACATTCTCCAGAGAAAAAGGGCCAAATCCTCGCCGGCGCTTCAATTCATCTCCTTATATAGACAGTTTCATGAGCTGCCACCATCTTGGCTGACAATCCTCACCTGCTTACACATCGATGTGACTCACTCACTGGGTGTTAACACTGCACTGTAGTACTTTTGATCATGTGTAGTCTGGATGTGTGATAAATGCTTTAGTACGTGGGGTTACTGTTGGGAGAAAGTTAAAGCTAAAAGTCACATTTGTTACGCCAAATATGGGGCAAGTAAGATTACATATCTGCCAGATGTAGTCAGGAACTGATACAAAGTATTCTACAGAAGTCTTCCTCATGATGTTATAATGTAACATTGAAAAATCTGATTGCTGTAGCAAATGCAGTAAAAGCTGTGGAATGACAACTGCTATATGTCATGAATGCCATTGTTTACTGTAGTACATTTTTTTACTCTCGTATGAAGGATTATTTTGTTAAAACCCCACAAGGTTGGAAAATCAAATCAGGCCTCAGAGGGCCATGTAATCCTTCATCTTAAGTGAAAACATGAACATGCCCCAAACTGAGGTCATCAGAGGAAATTGTATTACAGACCCATGGGAAATGGAAAAACAGAAGATTAGTGAGGAGCTTAAATTTGTTCAATTGATCAGTGTTAAAGTGAGCATATGTACATTAGTTGTTTTATTTATATATATATATATAAACTGTATTTTAGGAATTAGTTCAAACCATCTGTCCCTGTCAAAGAGTAAGAAATTTTGTTAAGTTCCTTTCAGGTCAGAATCTGTCGAAATGTGTTGTTAGCACTGAAGGCTAACATCCTGCTAAACAACATTGCTTCTATTTCTTTATAGGATACTAGTAATTCCCAACATGTTGACATTCTAGTTAGCTATTTCTGAACACATAGTTCAAATAAAATTTGATACATTCTGTAGCTATTTTGCCTTAGAATAACTCTGCATTGTTAGCGCTGTAGCATACAATGGTGAACCCAGCACCTGCAATCATTCTTTTTGCTAACAAACTCACTGTTTTTGGAAACAGGTTAAGTTAATTAGTAAATGTATTTATTGACTGTTGAAACTATCTTCTGTGCTAACTTAACTGCACTGCTGTACTGCTGACCAAGTATTGTCTAACCTTGCTACGACTCAAGCAGTTAATGCTAAAATATATGCTAATTAATCTTAGCACATTAGCCAATACAATTTTTTTGATTGAGATGAAGCATCATTTGCTTTATAATAAACAATGGTGATAGCTCTGATTTCAAGTTGGACTTGAAGAGGTTTTATCCAACTGTAGAGACTACAGTTATCAGTTAGTACAGTTGTTAGACATCTGTTTGATCTGAACATTAAACTGGTCACAACATTGCCCTCAGCTTGCCAAAAGAAGCTTAAAAAGTTGAAAGAGTGACTTTTATTTTTTTACCTAATGACACAATAATCCCTATTGATCTGGTGAAGTACAGACACACACCTGGTTTCAAACCTGTGACATTTCAGATGTAATTTTCCAGGAGTTGTGGAATGCTTATTAGACCGGAGAACTGAACCATGACTTTGTCTGATGACTTCTGGTACCGCGGTCCAAAACAGGATCAAGTGGTTTTGGTCTTAAGGTCAAGCACCTGTTTGTGCATCAAACTAAAAACTACAGCTAACATGTTTTAATGGTCTCCAAGGCAGACAAAAGTGTCTGGGTAAAGGGAACGTGACTGCTCATTCATTTCAGCAATTTGAATTAGCAGGAAGTCAGCCAGAAGCATGAGATGCCACATCGCACGTGTGAATATCTTTAAATGCTAAGTTTGTCCCAAAAAATTTCCACGCATTATATTTCAGGAAAACTTGAATATTTGAAATTTTTAATATTTATATTTAATATTTATATTACAATTTTAATATTTATATTTAATATTTATATTAGAATTATAAAATAAAATATAAATGGTTGTTGCCATTTGATCCCTTTGAAGCTTCATTTTTTTTCTTGTCCTCACACAGGCTGGTGCCATTAGTGCCAGACAAAGCCATGTTTGTTGTCGGTTCAGACAGGAAGTCACAGTCTGTGGCAGCCCATTCTGCCTCACGACTGCTTCAATTAATGAGCCATTACATCAGCACACGCTCCCCGCAGATTTCAGGACTTGTTAGGAGTTGTGCCCCCCCACAGAAACATGCCTGTTCTCTGAGCCCGGCCCAGGCACAGATTTGGCAACAGATGACCTCATGTTTGGCTTTGTGCTGCTGTCGTTTACTCAAACAAGGTTGTGAGCCCTGGCTCTCACAGGCTTTCTACCCCTGCTAAGAGAAACAGCCCGTATTTGTGCATGACCTCAACCCTGAGGTTCTCCTTTTGAAGGAGAGAGAGAATGCTGTTACTGTACTGTACGTGTGTGTGCTTTCCATTTTTTTTTACACAGTTACAGCTGTTTTAATCCAAAATGACAATAGAGCTCCACATTTAGAGTCCAGGGAGGCCGTTTTTCACTGCTTCTCACTGCTAGAAAACACCAGGGTAACGACATTAAGATGTTTGGGACACATCAGACACTTAGTGTTTATTAGACAACTGGGACCTGTTAGGGATGTACAATAGAAGATAATTAATGAGGAGGCATGGAAGAAGGAATATGAATGTCCATGTAGGCTTCAATATGTCAAATAAATATTGAAAAAAGACAGAAGTCTGCACCCATGATAGGGCAATACCATGGATTCCAAACACTGAGGCACAAGTGAATTAAACCTTCATTCTTCATTCAGTCAGACTAGAAAGACTGTATCACTGCATTAGTCACACCTAAACCAAAGGTCGAATATGAAAAGGGCTGTTGTAAAAATGAGAAACCAACAATCTGACACCTTCTCTCGTCTTTTTTGCGAGCCGTCAACTGTGTACTACTGAATTATAATATTTATTATAATGAGGTCTACACTTGAGGTGACTCAGCAGCACCTTCATAAATATTTCTGTAGTAGTACAAGAACCTTAGGCTAGTGTATTTAGCTTCTGTGATTCTGAGATTTAAAAACATTTGAAGTAAATGTCCCCATAATGACTCCGCCGCCTTAAATATGTTAATACAGATATATATGTATATATACTGTATACACAAAAATATATACATATAAATATATAACATATGTAAACATAAAATATATGTAAATATATAGATAGACCACTTAGACGTTTCCCAATAACTGGCACCATTGAATGCAACACGAAGTTCACTGGACGGGTCAAAAAAGAGGTACGACACGGTCTGACATAAGACAAAAACACCAAGCTGCACAGATGGCTGATATTTACACTGAGTGAACAGAGCTAGATGCATATTGCAACACCAGAGATTCAGCAGAGAAATCTAACATTTCAGCAGAGGACAGATTGATTTAGCTCTTGGATTTATTGCCCACATCTGGGACCAAACCCACGTGGATCGACACGTTTGACATCCTCAGAACAGCTTCACAGCTTCAACAACTTCAGGTGTCCAAAGTCCCACTCTGCTGCCACTTGTCAAACTGACTTTAGGCTCATGGCGGCTCTGATGGTCATGAAGAATTGCAGAACACGTTGACCCACTGTCAACAACCGGACAAGGTCTTCATGAGACCAGTGTAACAAAGCAAACAAACAAAAAAACCAAACAATGACCAACATTTTTCAACCTCTTGGTCCATTACTGCATGTTGAATGATCATTTCCTTTTATGAAACACTAAAACCTATGAAGCCCAGTGCATTCAAGACGCCACTGGCTGGCTGCCTGATGATCATGTCCACTCGAGGTTCTCCCCTGTGTTCCTTTCAGCAGTTGCAACACTTCCTCTCCACACTCTGGGCTCTCAGATGGATTTTATTTAAATGTTTTCACAGCTCTAATAAGTAAAACTGTGGTATTTAGCAGGGAAACAGAGACTGTCAACATTTCTTTTCATCTGATGTTTGTTTTTCCTTCTTTCCCACCCTGATAATCATCTCAAGACCACACTCACTATTAATTCATGACCTTCCTGGAAGAGACACAATTGCTAGGAATATTTGGATGGAGAAATCTCCAGATTGATGAAAGTACCTAAGAAACCAGGCGTGCACACTCACCGATACAGGAACCGTCCTCCGCGGCAGTGTATCCCAGCAGGCACTGCGCCGTGCTCCTCACCCTGGGGTAGCTGGGCTCCACAGATCTCTGAGGAGTAGAGAAGGTGTCTGGAAATCCCACCGAGGTGTCTGTGTAAACGGGCTCAGGCGGGTACGGCTCAGGTCTGAAGGGCTGGTTGTACAAGCCCCTGGGCATGCACAGGTAGCCTCCGTTCTGGTTCACACAGCGCATATCTCCCCTGCAAGCATCTGGCAGCGTACGGCACTCGTCCACATCTGGAAGACAAAGTGGTGCGCTGAGACATGAGGACATTCCTGCCTCCAGAACATCTGTGGGCCTGTGATTCATTCATCTCTCCGGGTGAATTGCTTCAGCAAAAGTACTGACAAAAACCTTACAGGGGAAAATCAGGACAGTTCCAGCACAAATCACTGTTGTTAGCGTTGACTTAACTGTCAGACAAGGACAAACAAACAAATGAAATGTGGTCCAACAAAGACCTTCAATTAGGAATTAGTTTAAAACAGACTGTGACCTTAGCCTCTTCAAGTTCTCAAAATATCATGACAAGCACAACGGAACATGAATCTGTTCCTAATGACACACGACTGTGACTGACACGCCTCGCTCTGGTACTGTTAAATAACAGAAAAAAAAGTATTTGTACTGACAGTCATGGTCGGAGTTTGTACATAAACAAAAGAAACAGAAATGAACTTCTGTGAGAGTGTGTGATTCTGTGGCCCAGATGAACAAGATTCACACCGACCTGACTTTTACAGTTCTACTACAGTGTGGTACTACTACAGTCTGGTACTACTACAGTCACACAGTCAGAGTTACTAGTCTGGCAGACAAGCAGACAATCCATGTCCTCCCACAGGCCCCATGTATAAATATATAAATGCTGTTTAAACCTCGTCACTCACCTACACATTGTCTCGCCCTGCGGTCGTACGCGAACCCCTCTGAGCAGCCCTGGTGAAAAAGAGGTGGAAGAAGGTGAGAGAACCTGAAGACACGACCTGCTAAAACAATAAATGACCACAAAGAATTCAAACAATGAATTAATGACTACATGTACAGTAGGTCTAATATTAATGTATTGTTATTATATTAGATTATAATTGCTAAGATAATAATTTATTTAATATTATATTTCTATTTTGTTAAATAAATAAAAGTTTCAGGTCATTGTAATACTAAAGTTGAAGCCCTTGCCAAAATAATGGTTCTATTCTCATTTTTGACCTGGTCACCAAACACCACAGGTTAAAATCCAGCCCCAAAACTATGACATCAATTCAGCAGATTATTAAAACAGGTTCCAAACAATCCCTGATGTTTTGGTCTCCTTTCCATGCCATATTCACAATAGCACAGAGCATCACTTTAACAGACCAGTCACTCTGTTAAACTCCACTCCAGTTCTTGTGTAATTTCACATATTTGGCCTTTGCTCTCAGTTGCTCCCTCCTAGAAACATCTCCTGCTCCTAACTCAGACATTGTGAAAGGACTCTGCCGAACATTTGACGGATTTACTGAACGACCAAAAATCTTTTGTGACCCACCTGAGGGTCGCGACCTAGTCTTTGGGAAACAATGGTCTACATCACCCAAATATTGAAAGAGAAAACTGAATAAGTCGTACATAAGACTGTCAGTAGATATGAAAGGTGAAGGAGAAATCGTTGGACGGACAGAAGGAAACTTTTGGTGCAAAGACCAGAAAAAAAGGAGTCAATTATTTTTATTGTCTGACCAACCACATAAAACATGATAGGGACAAATGTTGAAGGAATCCAGGGGAGTATTTAATTTAATTATGCTAGCATAGAGATAATAAACTAAAGAAGCCTCTTGGATGAGAGGCTTGAGAACATTTTTATGTCCAGTTGCCTAACAAAACTCTTCAACCTTGACCATGACCTGGATGACTGACAATCTTCATCTATCTGTCCAATGGCTGAAACAGGCAATAACATCAATAAACATGATACAATATAAACAAGTCCAGAAAGACGTGAAGTTAGGAGGCCATCCTTCAGGGTAAAATGTAAAGAAAGCAGTGGTTGCCAGACACTCTGCTAAATCACTGTATTTATAAGAGATGGTCCAGATGTGGTTTGTGCAGCTTTCTGTTCCCTGTGGATCCTAATCACTTATGATTACTCATGTTCTTATAATAAATCCATGCCTTCATGTAATTATCTGACGAAACACAATTAACAACACAGTCAGCTCATTTATACCGCTGCACAACACTGACATGAACAGGTCAAGACCACGACCTCGGTCTAAATGTTGACGAAAGACACGTGTGTGTGTGTGTTACCTGTCCGTGTCCTGGACGAATACACAGCAGAACACACACCAGCGCTGCCAAAGTCCTGCAAATATGCAAACAGTTGTATTAAATGACAATCATTCAGACGGACAGGCTTGAAGAACAGCAGTCAACGTTACTCACCTTGACGAGGAGCAAACCCTGAGGCTGAGTATGTCCAGAATCATCGTGTCACGGTTCGTGAGCTCACAAAGTTTTTGTTGTTGTTTTTTTTTGTTTAAACCCGTAAATGAAAACCCCAGCAGGACTTTTCACTGTGCGGAGGAGGACAGGTTTTCATCAAAGCCCGGTGTGATCCGGCTGCAGCCTCCCGGTGCATTGACCACGGTGGGTTTGTACAGATGAACGGCTCCTCTCGAAGTGGACCGCTGCTCACGCTACACCGCTGCACACATTATTATTTAGCAATGCAAATTGAAGGGCCCCCTCTGAGCACTTCCACCGCAGCTGGAAACCTTGACCGAGAGAGAGAGAGAGAGAGGAGAGGAGAGGAGAGGAGAGAGAGCTCCAGACCCCTCCCTCTATCAGAGCCTGCAGTGGCCCCACAACACTCCTCGGATGTGTGTTTTCCAAAGATACAAACAGCGCCCCCACCCCTCTTCTGTCCTGTCCCTCTTCTCTTCTGTAACCCCATCTCCGGCTGAAGTAGTAGTGAACATCTGGAGTGGCCAAAGCCACGGCAGCCCACGCAGTAGTAGCCACATCTGGTTTGCAGGAAAGAAATGACAAAAGGCAACAGCAGTGTGTGCATGTGCGTGTGTGTGGGGGGGTCAGCAGGACATTTATTTGATTCGCAAAAGTCCAATCAAGTCACATCAATTAAGTTCATGTCAACTTAGTCAACTTTTTACTTTTGACACCTCCACAGACTCCGATTTGTCAATGATTTAAAAAACCTGTTTTCTACAAGTGAGGATTTACAGTTTGTACATGTCATCAATCTAGAAACAGAAAACCTGTAACATTCCTTTTTCTTTTTCAGCGTACGACTGATGTCTGTACAAAAATGCCGAGCGGCCCAACTCTAAGCTGGCCAGCTCTGCTCAGGTAAAGGTTTTAATGTGCATTTTTTTTTACATTTGGTAAACACATTTACATACTTATATTTATATATATATTTATATATCAATCATTTACAATCCTGGTTTTCACAAATTAACCATTCAGCTGAAAAACACAGGCACTTTTAGAATTCTCTGTTGTGCCTTTAAATAGAGAGGGGGGAAAAAACATAAACAGCAACCCATTTACACAAATGTAACTGTATAACAGAACTAACATAAAGAACAGCTCTGACCAACCACAGTCTGCAGTCAACACCACAATTACAGCTCCTGTTGCAGCTCACAGTCTGACTGTCTGGAGAAGGAACCAGTCCTGGATGGGTTTAACAGATGGAGTCCACCACAGAAATACACACACACAGAGGTTTTTAGGAAGCGTCCCAGATCAGGAACACTTTGTGGCAAAGCTGGAAAAGAAAATGTTAAAAATCCTGTCGACCGTGGAAAAAAACCAGGCAGGTTAAATAATGACTACTGTGACGGAGGCCGATAAGTATCGTCCTGTACACAGAGGTGAAGATCTGACTCCACTCACATGCACTGAACTGTACAGTGAGAGTTTTCAAGGTCACTTTGGACTGGAGCATCAAATAAAAAATATAAAAAGAGCCAAAAACTCAAGGTAATCATACAGAATGATTTAAAATTATTCAAAGACCTGCTTTAATATCTGCAATAGTGTAGAACAGTGGTTTTCAAACTACGGTGCGCATAGCACTGATGGTACTTGGGCTCCCCCTGGTGACACATGGGAGAATTCAGTTCAAATTAGGTGAGTCACTTACGTCAAATACTGCTGTTCAAGATTGTTGCTCACTCTGTGTGTGGTTTCAGAAGTGAAGTAGAGAATTAGTTGTAGTGTTACTTCATGGAACAGTGGGTCAACGGCTGATTGAAACTCTTATTAAGAATGTATTCTCCTGTTCATAAACTGAACAGTGTATGCCTGCACTGCTGTACGTTTTGTCAAACTGGTGATACTCGGAGAGACGCATATTTTCAGAGTTTGTACGCAGAGTGTGGAGAAATGGGAAGATACTCACTGGTAAAGGAGACTGTGTTGCATAGAACCATAACTGCTACCAGAAATGATTGAAAAAGTTTGACATTTGCTGTAAATATTCTCACCTATCATGATCACCATGATCTGATCATTTCTTTTAGCAGGGAAAGAAAGAGCAGCAGCAGTTAGGTCGGAATCAGTCAGTGTGGAATAAAAAAATGTTTTTTTTGCTTTGTTTTTTTTAAAGGAAACTAATTGTCGTCCACTGATCACTGCTTCAACAAGTCTTTGAGAAAGGCTCCAGTACTGGCCTCAGCAGAGACCGGCACAGGGGTGAAAGAGGGCAAGGCGTCAGAGATGGGCTTCATCAGCAAATGACCTCCTGAGCCTCCAGGGCCGGAACCAGCGAGCAGAGGCACCGCTGCAGAACGGGGGGCCAGGAAGGGATTGGATTCAGTGGATCGTTTAGTGGAAGCAGAAGCTCCTGAGAGAACAGGAATATTATCATTAATATTGGGGTATTAAATAAATGACATCAATTAGAGGCTTTAGTAATCATTCTATTATTTAATAGCAATTTTAGAATTTTAATTAACAATTAACAGCTACAATATTCAATTATAGAAGGGCTTGTAGACTCTGAACATTCTGCTGTGGTCTACTGAGGGCTGGCTACACTGTCTGGTGTCTGTACAGGACTGCTGTAGCTAACGTTAGCTCTGGTGTCTGTACAGGACTGTTGTGGCTAACGTTAGCTCTGGTGTCTGTACAGGCCTGCTGTAGCTAGCGTTAGCTCTGGTGTCTGTACCAGGACGGTCGTGGCTAACGTTAGCTCTGGTGTCTGTACCAGGACGGTCGTGGCTAACGTTAGCTCTGGTGTCTGTACAGGCCTGCTGTAGCTAGCGTTAGCTCTGGTGTCTGTACCAGGACTGCTGTAGCTAACGTTAGCTCTGGTGTTTTCTCACAAAAACATGCTGTAGTCTTAAAGCACTGCATTAATAAGAAAAATTAAGAAAAAAAACCCAAATTCTGAATCCATCCATCTTCTTCAAGCCCCAGAAAAAACTTGTGTTACTGCCATCTATTGGCCTGGAGTGTGTGTATCAGTGATTTGAATTCTTGTCTGTCATTAATTAATCTCAAGCTATTTATTATTTTCTGCTATCTTCTGAGAACGTTTATGAACAACATTGAGCCGTTGAGTTGTTAAGAATGGTGTTTTTGTTCAAATGATCAAAATAAATATTTTTTTAAATATAAAAAACACGCTGAGTGAATTACCTGTGTTTGTAGCAGCACTGCTGATTCTTCTGGGAGGAGAGGCACTTAGAGGTTTAATGTCATGGAATGGAAGCTTTGGTGCAGGTAGAGAGGGAGTAGACTCCATCTCCAGGAATTTTACAAACATCTCAGAGAAGGACTGCAACAAAGAACAGGACAGAGAGGAGTTTCACATTTCTGTTTAGATACCATGAGCGTACATTAGCTCAGGGATGGGCAATTCATTTTCCCCAAGGGCGAGATGAGACAATTAAATGGTTTTAGACACAACACAGTGTGTGTAAAACCCAACATGTGAACCGCCTGCGTATTAGAGCAACACCAAGTGGAACCTCGCGGGAATTACAAATAGCTGCCTTCAAAATAAAAGTAAGAAGAAGAAAGTGTGTTACCATATCAAACCCTTTTACTCATCTGGCCCTGATATAAATGCAGCCACATCTAAACCAGGTGGTCACAGATGTTACTTCTACATTAATGTAGACCCAGGTGTGAACAGTCATCCAACACCGTCTGAGGGGAAACTGGACGACTGAAGACTAATGACTCTGACGGCTGTTGTGTATCTTACAGAGTTGAGCATGTGTCCACTGCTGGGCCTCTGTGGAGTGTTGGGGACACTCTGTGCTCCTCTGCTTCCCAGCCAGTTTGACACCCATCCAGTCAGACCATGGTGTTCGTCTGCCTCCAACATCTACACACAACAGGGAGCAAAGGTACAGAAGTGAAGACCAGGCGCTCTGAAGCCATCAGTAGAGGTTGAGTCAACATCTCAGGGTGATAAAATAAATAACTGGACTGGTTTTGAGAAAGACAATGTTGTGTCTCAGACGGCTTATTTTCACTGTTTTATTAATTGTTTTTTTCCATTTCAGTCTGACGTTAGCTTGCTGGAAAAATCTGAGACTGGAATCTGCTTCATCTCTGGCTTTATAATCCCTTGTCACTCATGTTCCTTTATCAGCTGACAGAACTGAGCCTGAGCTCAGTGTGCAGTAGAGGCATCACAGCCAGAGTGGAGATTATGTACAGCAGTAATGAAGCCAGCTCTGAAAAAAGACAACTGATGTTGTGACATACTTGGCTTCAGTCGTCAGGAGCTGAGAGGAAAATAGCAATAACACCGTGAAAAAAAAAAAATCATCTGAATGGCCGTCTTCCTTGTAGAACGGGCTATTCTGAATGGTTGTAATCGCACTTTCCTGTTGCGCTGGATCTGTTTCTCTTTAACACAGTTGCGTAGTTTACTTCCCAGTTGCTGGACGGTGTCCCACAGGGCTCCTGCCAAGGGACCAGCGTAAGAAAATACTTTCTTACTCTCGACTGTGCTCTAAGAGGATTTTTCAGGGGCTGCTGAAGTTAAAATTTAATTTTCACAACAACATGTTTTACTAATAAAACCTGGTCAGAACTGAAAACAAGGACTATTGTCTCACAGGAACAGAGAACCATGTGATTTATAGATGTGAACATTACACGTTATAAACACAGTGTAGTTGCGTAACATCATTTACTGTCTACCATACTGAGGGGTGGGGGGAGGGGGGCAAAGGGTACATCCATACCCTGCAGTCCCAAAAACCATTCACGCTCTAAGGGAGGAAACCTGAGCTCCCCCACACTGGGTTTCTGTATGAAGCTCGTACAGAAAGGCTGGGAATCGATCTTCTTGTTGCTGTAGGACCTGATAACTACTACTTCCACCAGTTACATCATATGCAGCCTCATAAATCTACCACCAACAACGGGCATTTTGGGAATGTTCCCCAACAGTGCCTGAAAGCAGAACAAATCAACAATTTTCTGGCTCTTGCTGTTCAAAACAAATTTGATTTGCTCAGCCTTTCGTCACCATTGTCTGCCTCACATACTCATGATGGGACACACATTTTCAGGCTTCAACAGTCAATACTTCACTGTCATTTGCTGGGTATGAAGAAACAATAGCAGCAACAATATTCTTGGTGCACAGTTCCATCAATGTCACATACATTTTAGTGATGGGACAAATATTTGTTTTTTAAATGCATTGTGATTTGCCTCTTGAAAGAACATAAGATAATGGCGAGGGGCCGACTATTCACAAAGAACAAGACGGTCATTGCAGCCTAGTTGTCAGGTTTGCGCTTCATCGCGCTGATGTAACCACAGGTAAACAACAGTTACTGACGTATGTGTGGGAGGCGATGTGAGTGCTGGACACCAGGGGACAGGCAGCATTTCTGCGTCCGAACGGGATGGAACAACTAGTGTGAGTGAGAGACCCATAAAGGCTCCTGTGGTGTAGCAAAGTCGGTTCAACATTGATTGCTCAAGATTTACGATTGACGTTATGTGAAGCAATTGACAACTTGTTCATTTCTCTTTTTTTTTCTAAACTATATTTGTGAACAGAGTCAACATTAGCCGTCACAATCTACTGATGCCCGTGTCCCTTCTATCCTGGTGGTCTTTGGCTCAATGACTCTGATGCCTTTTTTTGGAAGTAAACATTATGGGATAGTTGGACAAAAAATATAAAAAGCACAGAGTCATAAAGTTTTCCCATGTGCAAAAAGGTCACTATTAAAATGTAATGCTTCTGTGTTTATTAGTTTGGAAGGTAGAGAATGTGGAACGGAGCCACAGACTTTATCCCCTCTGAAAATGTCATCCTGCAGACTAAAATGTAATTATTCTACCAACTGTCCCGTCATAATATCACCCCTCACGCATCATTTCTGGAAAACCAGTCAAGGACGACTCTAACCTTATCAATGTCTTCTCGGCTCAGACCCAGCACACTTCCCATGAGCCTCAGCACATCTCCACGTTTGGGTTTAGGAGTGTGGAAGTATCCCAAGTACAGGTTTCGCATCAGGACCCTGGAAACAGATCATGAATAACGGAGAGTGACGACATTTTAAGTTTGGCAACTGCAGCTTTGGCCTTGTTTTTGTACGACAGCGACATCACTTCTAAACACACCAGCAGTGATTCAGTTTGAAGAGTTGATACCCTCTGTCTCTCTCTCCTGAGAAACCGAGGCATTGAGGATTTATTTCTAGGAACTGCATCACAGAGCAGTTACTTAATGACTGAACGACACAAGTCTCCTTTGTTGCCGTTTGGGGGGAAAACCATAAGTTTCCAAAATGTCAAGTTTTCACGAGCCAAGAAACACAGGCTGTCGGTAATAAATCTATCTGGTCGTGGCTTTTTCAATTTTTTATACTTTTTAATGGTTTATTTAAAAAAGAAAAACTCAGATAATGGCAACAATAACTCAACCTGAATATAAACATTACAAATGAATAAGAGGAATTAAATAATTTACTTAATGATAACGGTTTTTAGTAACAAGCTCTAGATAATATCAATGATTTCTAAATGGCACAAAAACATCATAACATTAACATAACACAACTGAATAGAGCAAAGGTATTGAATTGTTGGGTGAAGACCAGCTGTAGAATCACACATTTAGCTAATGGTTTATGGCACAATTAATTAAAACAATTTTTTTTTTAAATTAATTTTATTACTTTTCCTATTTTGTGCTTTAATTGCTTCTACCTAAAGGTTTTCACAGAATGGAATTTTTTTTAAAAAAAACTCAATAACCTACCAACAGAGGATTAAACATCAAACTTACTTGTCGATCTTCCCCTCAGTGCTGTTCAGAAGGTTCATCACTTTCCTCTGTGCCTCCTCCAACATCTCCTGTCTCACACCCACTGTAACAATCACACATAATTTAAGCGTTATGACCTGAAATCCGTTCACAAACATCAGACCAAAATTAGTGCAGATTCCATCTTTAAGTATTGAAACTACAATAATGGAAAGCACATAAGTTTGAGTCAGTGCCACTGAATAGTTTCAGTTTGTGTTGGATACAATAGAAAGAAAGCTTGCAATTAATCTATCTGGGAGAAAAAGCCCACATAAGAAAATGATTTAGAAACCGAACAATAGAAAGAAAGCTTGCAATTAATCCATCCATAAGAAAATGATTTAGAAACCGTTTATGCAAGACAAAGATTTCTTAATCAAGTTATTAGTTTGTGTTATATAGAAATAAAGCTTTTCCCTCTGGCCCACTGCTACTAATGAGAAACAAATACAACTGTTATGTACGAGGCTAAAAATATCAGTAATAGTCCAACACTTAAGAGTTTTGAGTATAACCAGATATTTACTCTGCTGACTATCACATTCTCAGCTCTGTGGATTAAGTGTGAAAGCACTGGCATCACATGTGAGCTGCAGTGTCAATGTTTAGCCTGTGGTGCAGCCCTTTCCCTCAACAAAACCTCACCATCCATCACTGGACCTAATGTAAATTTCCCATAGGTGATAAAGTCACACAACACGTTTGAACAAATGTCTGAGAATTTGCTGTGATGTCACCGTCATATCTGAGTCTGATAAGAGTGTTTTTTCTGCACTGTCACTTATTTGGTCTGCAGCTCAGCCTGTGATAAGAGCACTTAAATATAATACGACCCTGGGAAAAAGGTTTGTCTAAGAAATGCTTTTCAAGAGAGAGATGGAACTGGTAGATCACTGGTCTCCACTGCTTTGATTTAAAGAGTTTTATTTCATTAAAAACACTAATGGATACTTCTTTAAACCTGAAGACAGCACTGCGTCATGATGATCTGTTTGTGCAAGACCTTGTGTGGGAGCTGGCTCACCTTGTTTTTTCAGCTCTTCTATTTGCTCCTCCTTCAGATCGAGTTGATCTGTAAGACGAGAAGCTGAATCTAGAGCAGCGTTGGCCTCGTCCAAGTTCAACTGTTGGAGAAAAACATAGCCCGTCAAAGGGACAGGTTTAAAAAAAAAATTAAAAAATGGACGTGTCACCTTGTTAGGGACAGTTAATGTTGTTGATTTTTTACTGTTTGGAAATATTTGTATTACAAAGTACAGCGAAGGTTTAGATATTCAAAGACAAAGGAAATGAAAAGATGTGAATACGTTGAAAACAAATGGAGGATGAGAGCATGGAGGAGTGGAGCACAGGGAGGAGTACAAGGAGACATAACTGCTATATATGAGCCTCTCATATGTACGAGGTTCTCCTCTAGGTGGAGGAGGAAAAGTAGCACTTGTGTACCTGTAGAGCAGCTGCTTGGTCTTCCAGCCTGTCAGCTTTTTTCTTCAACTCCACTTTCTCCCTCTTGTGTTTCTCCAGTTCAGCAGAGTACATGGCTTTTTCCTCTGAAGGGGAACAAAAAATAAGAAATGTAAGTGAATAGAACGAAATGCATCAAGTAGTTTTAACAAAAAAAGTCTTTGTTGACAAATTACTTGTTGTTGTTTTACTGCGTAAAAAAATAATAAATCTTTGGACTTACCTTGTTGGAATTGCTCTAGCACCATCTGCAGGTTGGACAGTGACACTGCATACTGGTTGACCTGCTCCTGGGAGGTTCTGAGCTGTATAAGAAGTTCATCCCTTTGTTTCACCACGACAGTCAGCTGCTCCTGCAGAGACTCCACCTGCATACTGGCCTGTTGACTGAAGACAGCAGGAAGAGGGAAGGAAAATACAAGAGAATGAGGTGTTTGCAAAATAAAAAGAAAGCAATAGGTCAGTGTTTTAAGGGCAGCGTTTACAAAGGTCAGCAATGTAAAGCCACTTTTTTAATGTCTTTTTCTTGCTGCTGGCACTTTTTTCAGTTTGCATATTCTGCGAGTACACTTGTCATTCAATTAAATAAAATAGTGAAACAATGATTCAACTGAATATTATGTAGTAGTCAAGCTTGAGATGCAGTGAAAACAAAATGTAGTGAATTTGTTGGACTTAGAGTGACCTCTGCAGTGATACCTACACAATAATTTAAACGTTTCATCAAGATACAACATGTGTTGATTAAATCCAAATGTTAGCTGTAGTACCAACCTGGCGTTCTCTACTGCATTTGATGAAGTAGCCAGTTTCTCGTCCAGAACAGCCACTCTCCTTCGCAGTTCCGTCTCCCTGTCTTCTGCAGTTAGAGCCTCTCTTGTGTACGAGTCTTCGATGTCAAGGAGGTGATTTCGCAACCGTTCTAGCTCCAAGTTGAGACGCTGTTCTTTGTCGCGCATGTGCTGAAGCTGTAAAAAAATGTAAAGAAGTTGCCATTGAAAAATTGTGGAGTTTGTTAGGCCGCAAGCAGTATATCTGTTAAAGAGCGAGTACTATCTTACTTCATTTTGTACTGCAGTGGTCTCCATCTGTTTCTGCTTGAGTGCCATCATCACCTGATCCCTTTCCTGCTGGAATGCCACAGCTTTATCCTGCATGGACTTGAGTTCATTCAGGATCTGATTCAGTTCTCCAGATTTACCCTGAAATATGGGTAAGATACATGATGTATTACGATAGACCGTATACAGGAAATGGACTGAGGTATACGGATGCAGAGTTGTAACCATAAGTGTAAAATGATTTTGGCGTACAACTGCATCAATGATTACTGAATTTACAACATAAGTAAACATTGTCCTTAATTCCTCATGGTTCTAGTCACTTATTACAAGCGTTCTTTGATAAAACCCAATATCACATTAGCAACAAACACAATAAAGTGAAACCTGTTAACATTTGTAATCAACTGAAATGCTTAATTCAATAAAAGAGGGCTGAAGTCTGACCTGCTCTTTGTCCTTCAGCATCTTCTCCACAGTTGCAGCCTTTTCACTTGTTGCACTCAGTTCAAACTCCTTCTCCCTGAGCAGCATGGAAACCTGCATGTTGGTTTCCTGCAGCGCTCTGAACTCAGACTCCTTTTCTCGGGAGCGTGCAACAACAAGCTCATTCTCCTCCTTCAGTTTCTTCATGTCCAGCTCCAGGATGAGAGCGCGCTCCTTCAGGTTGGTGACAGCCTGTTTCAGGACCTCGTTGTCATTCTCGCGGTTGCGAAGCGTCTCGCTGACCTGAAGCAGCTGGTCACCTTTTGTTTTGATAAGCAGATCTTTTTCCCTCACTGCTCTTTGCTGAGCGTCGAGTCTCTCCCTCATGTGCCGGACCTCCTCGGCCTGGTTCCTCTGTTCATACTCCGAGGCAGAGGCTGAATCGGAGAGTCTGTGGTTGTTCTCCTGAAGAGTCCTGATCGTGGTTTCCTTCTCAGCTAACTGCCCTTGCAACTGTAGAAGTTGTTGCTGTACATTTTCATTAGAAGACACTGTCGCTGAAAGACTTAACTGTGCAGGTTCAGCTGTCAGAGGTTGTTCACTAGATTGAACAACTTCGCCTTCAGGTGGCGGTGTTACACTGTCCAATTTACCCAGCAGGACATCCTTGGTGGAGCTGAGCTGCGTGATGGTCTGCTGGACCTGGGCAAGTTCCTGGCTCAGACTGCCCAGCCTCCTCTCTCTCTGCTCGTAGCTCTGAATCAGCCGAGCATAATCAACTGACAGTTTGGAGCTACAGTCGCTGTCGGTGGTGACCTGTCCCTGCAGTTTGATCAACTCCTCCTGCAGCTGCGCCGACTCGTGCTGAAGGTTCTTGACTGTGGTGATCACTTGCTGCTTCCACTCCTCCATCTTCTTTACCTGCTGCTTCAACACATCTCTTTCCTGCAGCAGCTCCTCAAACTGGTTGCTGCTGACTCCTCCAGAGCCTCCACCCAAATCTCCTCCTGAGGTCTGCAGGACAGTCACCAGGGTTTGGCACTTCTGAGTCAGTGCATCAATCTCTATGTCCTTCTCCCGAATGATGCGGGACAGGTTCTGGATGGTTTCCTTGAACATCTCCTGGTTTCCTGAGGGATCGCTCATGTTGGCGAGGCGCTGGTTCTCCTGCTGGAGCTTCCGCAGCGGTGCCTCCTTTCCCG